TTAGGATATGCTGCTCCTGCTGTACCATGAAGGTCCCTCTACTAGGGGCATTTTCAGACGTTCTGCCAATGCCAAGACCTGCAAGGAGCTGAAAGAGAAGCTGAACTCTGGAGATGATGTCCAGGTGGATGGAGAGTCAGTCTTTGTGGCTGCAGCTGTCATCACGGTATGTTTGGCCAAGTAACTCAGCTGTCTGGGTACCTTCTTTAAGGAAGGCACATGCATCTTTAGAAGATCTGGGAGGGAGCACAAAGCATTTTCCAGCAAGCCACATTATCTCACCTGATGGCTTGGTCCATCTACATGCACAAAGGTTTCTTGCCAGTAAGCAAGAGGGGAAAACAGTTGCCAAATCCAAGCAGAGAGGTTGTGGTGGGTGGGGGATGAAGCTTGCAATAAGTCCCAAGTTTTAGTAAGAAAAAGCCTTTTGCACTGACAATTAAATCTGGTCAGAACAATTCAGGCATCTGAAGCATCAAAAAACATCCCCATCTCTTGCTCTTGTTGACCTAAAACCAAAAGCTGTTGGTGGGGAGGATATTCAGGCACTTTTCAGTGCAAGATAAAAGCCACAATGTGGTTCTCTGCTGTGGCTGTGTAAGAGCCCAGGGATGGCCCGGTGGAAGTGGGGAGGGGAGGAAAAATGTGCCTGTGTCATGTCTTTGTTTTGTCTTGTGCTTAATAATGTGAATAAACAATGACTATATGCATCGTGAAACCAAAACAAGGAATTCAAAACTGACCAGACTGCTCTGCATATATATATTTAATTCAGGATTTTCTTCGAAATATACCTGACAGTGTTCTATCCTCAGACATGCACGGACTGTGGATGGAAGCTGTGGACACAGAAAATCGGGCACATAAGATTGAAGCTATCAAAAGGTTTGTAAAAGCCTTTGTACAAGCTGCTTTTGGTGGGAGAAGGGGAAGCATATGGTCCTAAGCACAGATTTTGTCTTCTGGGAGACTCCTGGCCCAGCTCCAGGCCACAGCAGAGCCATTGCTGATTGCCAGTGTCACTGGTCAGAACGCTTTCCTTTCAGTGGTATTTTATGAACATTGCTAACATTTCTGATCCCAAAAAATATCATTAGAGAATTATTTTCTGATGAGCAATTCAAATTACCAGAACCAGCAAACTGAAAAAGCACAATTACTCAGCCACCAGGAGTACATCAAACGTTAGTGGGATTAGATCCTTATCGATGGTAATGTTTTTCTTCTGTGCACAAACTAAAGCTGATCATGGTATTGGCAGTTGGAAGAAGTAGCCCTGCCAAGATGGTGACTGGGACCTTGAAAATGGCTTTACTGCCTTGCAGCTGCTGCCCTGAGCAAGGACAGTCGATCGTGGGCATCGTGTGGGCTCGGTGTATCAAACCTCTCCTTGTCCATGGCTCAGCTCCGTTTTTGAACCTTACCGTTTGTGTGGGTCTCCTCCTCCATTGTCTCTCCAGCATGGGACACGGGCAATGGCCTGGAGCTGTATGCATCTCCTTTGGGCAGTCATTATTTTGTTAAGGCATTATGGACTTCTACCCACGTGTTCTGGACATAAGTCCCTTGGTCCTTCAGGCTCTGTGACCGGAGCAGGTAGGCTGTAGAAGTTGCTGGAGTAACACAGTATTACTTTATTATCAAATGAGAATGTCTCAAACTGGTTGCAGAAGGGGACAAAACCTTTGGGAAGCAACTTCTGACATTTGAAGGGCAGATTTTTATGAACAGCACTGTTTTTCTTCATTCTTTAATAGTCTGGTCAGCCAGCTCCCGGAGGCCAACCTCATCTTACTCAGACACCTCTTTGGAGTCCTCCATCACATTGAGCAGAATTCCGGCGTGAATCAAATGAATGCCTTTAACCTGGCTCTTTGCATAGCACCCAATATGCTGTGGCTACCCAGTCCCACTGGGCCTGAAGAGGAGAGCAGGTCTACAAAGAAGGTAAGCTATCGTAGGTTTGGCCTTATGCTTGTCTTCCCATTTTACTGCTTTTTTAGGGGCACTGTATATTGTTGACTAAAGGAAGGCATAGGACCAGTGGCAGCACTGTCTGAGTAGCATCCAGACTTCATCCTTTCCCTTGTGCAGCTATGCCCGTGTTGTTAGGGCAGTTTGGGCACTCAGTTTATCCAGGGTGGAGAGGGAAGCTGTGGTTGCTTTACCAGATGAACTTCCTATATAGACAAGCAAGCATAAGAACGATGGAGCAGCTGAAGGTAGGCACTGCCACTTCAGCTGGGTCTAAAGCCGTCCTGCAGAGACAAAGTAAGCAATGACTGCATCAGAGGGGAGGAATGCTTGCTTGTAGCTTATGAGGTGTTAGCAGTAGTAAGGAAAATCAAATAACATGCTGCGCCTTGCTCGCTGGACCAGTTTGTTCAGCTCATGTTGCCCAGGTGTAGTTAATAAATACAGACACAGTGCCAGGTTCTTGACAGCTTCTTGAGCAAAAGGTTCTGTAGGAAATTACTTCTTTGTAACAGGAAAGGGAGCACTCTGGGACTAATTTAACTTTGTATAGCTGACTATATTTTCATGAAAATTATTCTTAAAATTCATGTCTTTGCCAGGTGGCTTTGTTAGTGCAGTTCCTGATTGAAAACTCAGGAGAGATTTTTGGAGGTGACATTGCTTCCTTGTTTCAAAGACCAGACAAGAAGAAGTCCAAAAACTCCAAGGAATCTCTGGGTAAGTTGGTGGTACCGTATCCTTCAGAAATGCTGGAAAATCTTTTAATAGGTAAACTCCTCATTCAAAAGAATTTGCTTTCCCTTCATGTCTCATCCAAGGAAAAACATTCAAAAACAGCTGGATTTGGTTTTTCTTTTGCCTGTCAGGCATAGGCAGGAAGTGAGGGAGAGCAAAGGGCTGAGAGGCATCACTTCAGAGTGTTCCCTGAGCGTGGTTGTCCTTCTCTGTGGCTGCTGTTCAACCTGTTCCAGCCACCACAAGAATTTAGTGCAGCCTTAGCAATGCCACATCCCAGCAGTCTTTTTTTCTTCCAGATTGGTTCTGGAAAGCTAAACGGAGTGGTCGAATGGAAAGAGATCAAGTTTTTTCTGTTAAGTATCCTCTGCATACAGGTGACTGGTGACTGCTCAGGTCACCAAGACAGATTTTTTTTATACTGTTCCCTATCCTGATCTGGTCCATGTGAAAATAATGGATCATCTTGGCTTTTCCACGGACTTGATAATATTTCCCTGCCTTGGTTGTAAGGTGCTATATGGGGTTAGGAGACATAGGCAGCAAATTAATTTGCATTCTCTGCCCCAGGCGTAGGCTTGGCTCAGCACGATGATTCCTCTGATGAGCTGGAATTTTCTGCTTGTGACCCAGAAGGACCAAAGCACCAGCTGGTACCTGAAATAGATGCCCTTTTTGAACCATCCAGCAGCTTGTTGCTTGGTGAGGACCAGGAAGACTGGGACTTGTTCAGTGAGATCACAGCCTGCTACCAAAGCAAAGCCCAGAAGAACGCCAGCGTGGACAGCTATGACCTCCTGGAAGAGGAGGGCTCCTTCTGCTCCATCGGCTCAATACGCTCCCTCAGCCCGGCCAGGGACCGGTGCTCTTCAGAGCCCAGCGTCTGCCTCAGCTCCCAGCTCCCTGCTCAGAGCCACGAGCCGGTGGCTCGCCAGTCCAGCTGCGATGCCACCATCATGCGCAGCCACACCGACTACATCCACCGGCTCAAGCAGCTCCAGGTGGAGAGCCAGAAGCTGATTGATGAAGGCCTAAGTCCTGGGGTTAACAAGGCCAGGCAGAGCCTGTGGCAGTCACCTCAGACTGGCTCTAGGGTGAAGAAGCTCAGCCTTCAGAAATCCAGCCTGTCCAACAGGTCCAGCTTCTCCAGCCTGTCCTCTACCACCACCTCCCTGTCTGCCTCCTCGCTCAGCTCCTTAGACAGTGCTTTCTCCTACTGCTCGGAGTCATCGGCCATTAGTCCCACAGATGTGTCATCCCTGCCATTCATGTTCGGCACGTCTGCCAGGCTTCATGCTGTGTCCCCCAGGATTGCCAAGAGGTCCCCCAAAGAGTGGCACAAGTCCTTCACATCTCCGGTGCCTTTACATCCGTGTGACCTGGACAGTTTCCATGAGTGTGAGCCCAAGGCTGCAGAGAGCAGTCATTGCTTTGGAGAGAGGAAAGGTTTTCCATCTCTCAGTGGTGCTGCTGTGGGAAGCCCACAAGCTGGTCTTGACTGGGAAGAATTGGAGAAACAGCCAAGTGATGCAGGGGTCTCTGGTCTGGGGCTCAGGAGCTGGGATTATACCAAAGAGTTTAATCAAAATGCAGAGCCACCAGCTGCCAGCCTGGCCAGTGAGAAATCCCCAAAGCTGAGCCACCAGCAGCACAGTGAGGAGGCAGTGAAGAACATTGAAATCAAAAGCGTTGATGACTGCCCTCCAAGCCAGGAAAGCCTGAAGCGCACCAAGATCACTTTTTATGTGGCTCCAAATAAAGAAGGCTCCTGTGGGTCTCCAGTGGAAGGGGAAGAGGATGGATGCATGACAAACACCAGCAGCCCTGGCTCACCCAGCAGTGAGCAAAGCCTGTCCAAGAGCTTGCAGACTGTGGAAGTCCACATCCCCCAGACTGTTTTCTATGGGCAGAACACGCCCCTTGTCCTGCAGTCAGTCTCCAGGCGCTACCACCGTGAACGCATGGTCCCATCCCCACGAGCAGAGCCCAAAGAAAGCCCCCAGGGTGCCTCCACTCCTGAGGAGCTGGAGAGCAACCCAGTGGACGTGGCGCAGGCGCCAACCCAGAGTGGGGGCTTCAAAGCATTCAGCCACACCATCCGCATCATCCTCCCCGCCTCGATCCGAAACACTGTCAGGGAGTATTTCAAGCACGACGACACCGTGGCCTGTCCCGCGACTGAGGCAGAAGCGGTGGAGAACGAACTCCTCCAGAGCAGGGTGGAGTGGCTCAGGAGCCAGCCCCGAGCAGAGGTGGCCGCAGAGGAGCATGACACGGTGGCCTTCGCAGAAGAGATGTTTGTGTAGAGAGAGGGACGTGGGAGAACTGAGTATTTTTTTTGTGTGTATGCACAGCAGAAAATGTTCTGTAAGATACGATCAGGATGTGAAGAATCTAGCGAGCTGAATGGGGCAGTAAGTGTAAGGCAACACTGATGTGTATGTAATGTTGGTGTTTAACGTTCATTTTGGCTGGGGTAGGGGGTTTCTTATGTTTTACACCCTTTTTTCTATGGAAAAAAACCTCGACTGGCTGGATGTCTGGTGGAGTGAATGCCACTGGGCTCTTGTCCATTAATTAGCTGACTTGTACAGGGTCTGACTCCATTTCTTCTTAAAGTGGGAAAGGAGAAACTCTGCTTGATTTTCCCCAGTCAGCTGCTGATATGTGTGGATGCCTGGAGAACTGGGACAGCTGATGCTCCATCAGGATCAGTTAAAAACCTCTATGCTTGCACAGAATCCTCCCCTGTTCATCACCACCATTCATCCCAAGGAAGGCTTTTCACCCCCCTCTCAGAAACCACAGCTGCTTCCCTCTGCTCCTCTTTCATCCCCCCACTGGTCTAGCTCACAGTCTGCGTTTGTTACCATTTGAGGCTGGCTTCCAGAAACACCAAATAGAGCCCAAAAGAGCCCAAAGCCCAGCTTTCACTGGCATGTATAAAATTTTAACCTAAGATTGCTTATTTTTTTCCCTATTACTTGTGCATTGATTCACTCTTCTCATACCTCCCCCAGCACCAGTGTTTGGCAGAGCCACAGTTACTATAAAGGACTTCAGCACTGCCACTTTGGCAGGGCTATGAACATTTGTCGTCTTCAGTGTCCTCTGGCAGCAACTGGTCCCTTTAGTCCCAGTAAAAGGTGACCTATTTCTGTATATGGTGGTGACATTTCAGAAGGCCCTTTCCAGAAGCAGCATGGATGGGGCAACTAATCAAAGTCCTAGTCATGCTGAGAGAGACTTAAGCAGGATTTGACTTTAGCACGAGGTCAAGGAGTTGTGGAAGTTGTCAAGAAAGTTGTTGAGTGGATGCTGAAAGTAAAGCCCCATCTGGCCAGAAAGTTGGCAGGCAATGCTCAGAAGTGCCACAGCCATCATGGGCTGAGATGCTGCCAGCTGAGCTTGAAAATGAAGCCAAGGGCACTACGTTAGTGTGACAGGCATTAAGAAAATGAAGGGAAAAGTCTAAAAAGTTCAGGATGTTTCATTTGAAAGTTATGTGAGAGGTTTTGAAGATGATTTCTCGGAGAGACATGCTCCTTTTACTCAGTTAACAGTGAATTAACTCGACTAACAGGTGAAGGACAAGAGAAATACATGGTTGAGAGGTAGTGCTTGAGGAGTGAGTGCCTGCTGCAAGCTGCTGAGTGTTTGCAAATAGCCATACCTGGACCTGCTCAATACTTGCCACAGTTCAGTCCTTACACAGCACAGGAAGCCACCTCTAAAATGATGTAGGGATCAGCTGCCTCAACTCATCTGCCACTGCCTGGGAGCTGGCCTAGCACTCTAAATTCACACCATCAAATACCAGAGCGGGGGAGAGGAAGCCCAGAGCCCACTTACCAGGGTGTCCAGAGTTTGATTTGCTATGTGCAGGGTGTTTAACTCTCAGATGTGGCACTCTCTGTCCCAGATCACCTTGGTGGCCCTTGTATGATGAAAGATGTATATAATTGTAACACAACCCCCCACCGCCATCATTTCCCTCACACGTGAACACTGACGAGGCATTCACAGCCTTTTTTTTATTCCCAGAGCTACAGTTGTAACTATTTCAATAAAAGACACACACGTTTGTTTGTCGCTGTGGTGCGGTGATCGCCTTTTGTTCCCCTGCTCTGACCTGTTTGTGAAACACCAAACCATGTGGTGAAACACCCGGGCTTCCCAGCAAGAGGAACTGATGAGGAGCCCTCTTCCAGCAGATCAGCTCAGGCATTACTCTTCTTTGTGTCTTCTCGGGAAGGTGAAACAGCACTAAATGTTATGAGAAAAGTCTGCCTGTTCTTGGAAGGGAGAGTACTCTGTATTCTAAACACACTGGTGGGTCGTGAACTGGCTCAGGGACTGGGCTGGCCTCAGTTCAACCAAGGGGGACCTGGACCAAGTCATGTGGAGTAAGAGCTCATGATTTGCGTCACCTAAAAGAATTACGAGCAAGTTAAATTAGTTTATAGAAACACTGGGAGAGGCGGAGCGAAATGCACATTTTCCTCTTCTCATCTTATGCTGCCTAATATAGGTGCATTTCCCTGGATAGTTGCTCTAGCCCAGCTCTCTGTTAATAATTTCTCTTCATTTAAAACAAAAATCCTTCAAAATTTATCAGAAAAGATAGCATGAATCACTGGTCCCTTTGGGAGCCTGTGGCTGCACGGAAGAGGTAGGGTGCTACACGAGACAGGGAGATTTGGTGTCCCCAAGGGCACAAAGACCCCGCTGCCTCTCATGGATTTCCAAGGGACAGCAGACTGGGAAACCTGCGAGCTGCGCCACCATCCAGGATGAGGAACAGGTAAGTGCCTTAATGTAATACCCCACATCTAAACCCCCCAAGTCCTAGCCATAGTTCCCATGGGAATGTGATTGGTGATGCCTTAGGGTGCTGCTTGATGTCATTTTCCTGTCACGTGTGACATCCAACTGCTACCAGAATCCTTTCCTCAAAACTCCGAAGTGGGATGTGGCCCTCACTGAGGTGCAGAGATGCACTGACAAAGAGCCACAGCACTCACCTTGCTCACAGCAAGAAATACCGATACATATTTGGCTTTCTGTCCCAGAAAAGCCACATTTTTCCCTTAACGTACAGCCCTTGGGCACAAATACATATTTCCCTTCTCTCTCTGCCCTTTTCCAGATCAAAAGGAGAGATTTAGTCCATGCTGGCCTGACACATACCGACAGCCCTGCCGGATGCAGTCACTCAGGAAGATGTGTCCTGTGGTTGCCATCCGGGAAGTGAGGAGCCCTCATGACCTCCTCCCAGTATAGATCAAGGCCAGACCAGTGCAGCTCACTTGCCTTGAAGAGACACTGACTCATGCACTTCAGCTTCTTGTAATTTCTCCTTGGCATGTGGGATTTGTTCCCTTATCCTGCAGGCTCACAGAAACCCCCATGGAAGCACTTGGGGGCAGCTGTAGTTCATTTCAACCATGTCAGTCCCATTTCTGGCATCCCAACAGTCAGGAAAGCCAGGCTCCCCAGCCATTCACCCCCCATCCTTTGCAGGTCACAATTCCCCATCCTCCCTGCTACCCCATGGCACTTGGAGGGACAGAGAGCCTTCCCCAAGAGTGGTGCAGGCTGTTTTGGGGAACTGCATATCAAAGCAGACAGCTCACCATAGAAACTTCTCCAAAGGTCACTCTGAAGAGGACTGTGACAGCCACTCAACTCTTCCAAAAGAGCAGCTACTCCCTCCCTCACCAATTTGTTTTTCATCCATCTAATCAGGTACTACAGTCACAGGCAGAAACACCCCAACCTGTGGAATTTTACTTAATTTCATTTATTGTCAACTAGCACAAACTTGTAATTATTGATTCAGGTATTGGGGAGGGGGGGGAATTAAAAATCACCAGCAATTAACCTAACAGGGACGCACACTTCTCCTCACCCTTCTGCAAGCTCAGCTTCAGTCAACCCCAGCTCTCCCCCACTTCATTGTTTCAGCGTCCCCTTGTCCCTCCCAGTCCCTTCAGAGAGGGAAGCGGTGGCACAGGAGGTCAGGGTATGTGTGTAACAGATTCTCTCTGCCAGCCCTGGCTTCTTACTCATTTCCTTCCAGTGCTCCTGGTTTCTTAATTGCTACCTCTGCTCAAGTGCTGATCCTTCAGGGTCTGCAGTCCCTCGGGGTGTCCCTGCTCCAGCGTGGGTCGTTGATGGCTACTGTCCCTTCAGAGACGCTGTCCCCTTCCCCCTGCTCCCCCACTGCCGTGTCTCCGTCTGTGCACATTCCTTGTGTCTCCCACTCCTCATGGCTATCACTCCTTCTTAAATGTATTTGAGCACAAATGCCACACGCTCCTCCAACTGAACAATGCCCTCCCTGATCAAAACTCTGCCATTCATGCCAAATAAAACTGAATAAAACTGTGAGTGCTCGAATATAAGCATTTTTTTTTAATGTATGCATCTTTTATGGGATTGAGACCTCGCCTAAGAACTTGTTGGTTTAAACTGGTTGCTAAACACGGCCTGTGTTTTAACTAAATCCATAGGGAACATTTCTGTGCAGAACTCCGGAAAACTCACTTACAGATCATGGGTTCTCCACAACATTTAGATGGGAAGTTTGACAGATTCACTCAAACATGAGGGGAAAATCCAGTCAGAACTGGGGCAACAGGATATGATACCTAAATTTCCATCAAACTGATTCTATTCCAACCAGGGTCATGTTACCAGAAACGTGCATCTCATAGGTCTAGAAGCCTGATTATTAGAATTTTATTTGACATGTGTGGTAGTACAGCAATGGGAAAATTTAGTAGTTGGAGAAAGAGCAGATCATGGCACATAACAATTCAGTGACGTGTAACATATTCATAGAAAACAGTTCCCTCCTACAGGAAATGTCACCATTCGCATGGTTATCAGTATTTTCTTGCTAACCAAACTCAGCCTATATCATCACATCATCCTGTATTTGGAACAGCTATCTCTTCTTAAGCTTTCCAAAATGGGAAAAATTTGCTCTACAGTTAAACATCCAAGCCTTGCAAAATTCCCAGCAGTTACTTAGAATAGCAGAATTCCTGAAATTTCAAAGGAGAGGGTGAGTCACACAGCAAAGATATTTACTGGGGATATTTACTGCCCAGGGAAACAAAAAGCCATAGGCTTTAGCCCAGTTGTGTTCAGCAGAGCATTTAAGAACTTAAAACATTTACCACAGACCCTAGCATCAAGCTCTGTTTAAATAAGACATTTGCCATAGAGGCATTTATACTGAATCAGACCTCTACGGTCTACTGCAAGCCAGCCACAAAAAGCAATAGTGTTAGCCAAA